ACTCACGGGAACAAACCCTTCTGTCCACATCCTTCCGTGGCTGCTGTTCCCAGGACACACGGTGGATCTTCACCTCAGCTTCTGCTGCTGCTATTTCATCTTCCCGAGTCCTTTCATACCTCACTGACTCCCGTTGTCTCCTTCTGTCACCGTCAGTGTCACGTGTCACTCTCTGGTCAGTGGCGACCACTCTCTCTTCCCTCTACTGAAATTGGCGTCTGCGTTGCTCAGAGACCTCTATGTCCAGCTCACGTTGGCGATCGATCCTCCTCTCCTGCACAGGATCTTCCCTCTGTCTTCTGCAAATTCTCTCGTCCTGTGGTTCTTCACACTCACGGGAACAAACCCTTCTGTCGATGTCCTCCCGTGGCTCCACTTCCCGGGACACACGGCGGACCTGCACCTCAGCTTCTTCTGGTGCGAGTGTACCTCACTGACTCCCGTTGTCTCCTTCTGTCAACTTCAGTGTCACGTGTCTCTCTGTGGTCAGTGGTGGCCCCTCTCTCTTCTCTCTCTCGTGTCTGGCGGCTGCGTCGCTCAGAGACCTGCAGGTCCAGCTCACGCTGGCGATTGATCCTCCTCTCCTGCATGGGCTCTCTCCTTCTCACATCATCTGTTTCATCCCACTGCTGATCCTCATCTATTTCTCTCTCTAGGTTTTCAATGTCACGTTTCCTGCTCTTCCCTTCTTCACCAATCTCTGTCTCTAGCTCCCAGGTCTCATCGTACCTGAGGTCAATTTCTAGCGGTTCCTGGAGGTGTGACTGATGTGGGCGTCTGGCATCCAGGCATTCAGGTTCTCGTGGCTGGTGGCTGCTCTCTTCAAGTGCTTTTTGTTCCAACTCATGTCGGTGGCGGCGGCTTCTCTCTTCTCTGAGTAGTTCAGGTCTGCGTGGCTGATCGTAACTTCCTCTATCTGCTTCTTGTGGTTGCTGGGTTCTTTGATCATGGGCTGGTTCACGTGGTCGACGGCCACTCCACCGGTTTGGCAGTGGTTGAGCTTCACAGGTCTGGCTGCGACTCCTCACGTCTGCCAGTTGTTCTTGATGTTGCCTCTGCTCTTCCCGCAGCCTGGGCTCCTGGCCTTGTCCATCTCTTCTGCCTGGCTCCGGTGGTTGACGTCTTCTCTGGCTGGCCCGTTGGTCGCCCAGCTCTTGGCTTCGTTCTCCGTATTCCTGAGGGATGGGTTCCCCCGGCTCGCTGCTTCGGGTGGCGTCCTTTCTGCTCTGCGTGTGACGTTGCTGGTTCCTCGTTCCCTCGAGACGTTCAAGCTCTCGGACCCTGGCGTCTCGTTGCAGGTCGGGTTCACACTGGGGATGATGGTTCCTCTCACAGGTTTGTTGTTCCTCCTCCTGGAGTTGCTGACGGCTTCCTCTGGTCTTAACTTCAGGCTCTCGGAGTGACTTGCTGCTGGTTGTCAGCTTTGTTCTTTGCAGAAGGTACGGTTCCTTCGGCAGATACCAGTAGCAGGCCTTGGCCACTCTGAAGGCCAGAAGCAGGAACTCATTGAAATCTATTTCTCCATCACCATCCCACTCCAGAAAGTGCAGAATCTTGTCAATCGTCTGAGGGTCGTGTGGCTTCTGCAGGGAAAACACAGGGAAACAAGAAAGGGATTTTAGCTTTCCTGCTCCTTTGTCAGGGAAATGCAGACAGGGACAATCGCAATCTTTACTCCTCCCCATCCCTCACACCCTCACTTTTATAACTCAGCAACAGCTCCATGTCTCTGTTCTCTCTTGTCCTGGTTGTTCCCTGGCTGCAGCTTCTCTTTGGGATATGTTGGATCCCTCTGCTGGCTGCGTTCCCTTCCTACCTTTGAAGGAAAACCCCATGGTTCATTCTCCAGCTTTTGCCCATTTGCTCATGGCAAAAGGAGCTGGAAGAGCTGTCGAAGCAAAGGAACCCAACTGCCAACTCAACTTGGTGAAACCATCCCAGTCTTGCTTTCCCAGGAATCATCCCTTCTCCAGAAGGAGATTTTGCAGTGGTGGCCCCAGGCCCTCCCCTTGGCAGCAGCACTCACAGCTATGGCATCTGCAAACTCCCTCTCGATGAACTCCTTCATCTTCCTTCGAGTGAGGCTGGAGCAGTCTCCATCTTCTTTCACCTGCTTGTGGAAGACGCTGATGATGGTGGAGATGCTGTCCAAGAAGGGAGACATCTTCCTGCAGATTCAAGCAAGCCTGCAAGAAAAGGTGCAGACCTAAGGATGGAAGGTTTGGTCGCTTCTGAGCGTGAAAAGAGGATGGAGGGTGTTCTGTCCCGGTTAGAAGGCAGAATTGTGTCCCACCTCCCTTATCCCTCAGTTTCCCAGGTAGAGAGGTAAATAAGGAAGGCAGGGGGAATGAAAACCTTGCACCAAATTGAAAATTAACAAAATGAAATATATATTTAGCAGGGAACAGAAAGGAAGAAGGGAAAGGGTGTAACAGGGTACAGAAAGGAAGAAGGGTAGGGGTTTAACAGGAAAGGGGGGTTGTAGGAACAACAAGGCAAGGAAGATTAAACTTCCAAATATACAAAACCCAAATGCTATGCTGAGGCTCCCCGGTGCTGGATCTCGCTGGATTGAGGTGGATTGAGGCTGGATGCACAATCCTTGGACGTGGATGGAGGCAGGGAAGAGTCTGTAGATCAGGCCCAGGTCTCCAAGATGGCCACGGCCACGTGTAGCACAGGGAGCAGCAGAGCAGCGTGTGCCCAGGTACAAGGTCAAAGGAGCAAGAGCCTGAGCAAGAGAGCAAGAGGAAGAAGAGGAAGAGGCGTGCCTTTCTCACCCCTTTTATAGACCTTGGCAGGAAGTCCTGAAGACAGGAAAAAGGGGAGTGGGAATAGGACAGGTGTACGCCCCTTTCATTCAGGCTTGTACCTGGTTTAGGGTTTCAGATCTCCACCCACCAGGGGCAGCAGGTTTCGAACCATTACAGAGGGTCACCGGGGTCGGGCTGCAAATGTTAATGGGACTTTGGGTGCCGTGTGCTGTGTCTGCTCCTGCACCATGGAGAGCCCAGTTTCACCAGAGCACTGGGAAGAAATTCAAATGCTTGGGGGTTTTAGTGGGAAGGGGAGTGTCCACCAACTCTTCTACTGGTGTATATGGATGACGTTGTGTATGGGATGGCAGGATGCCTGCGTTTATGGATCACAGAGAGAGAACAAGGGGTGGTGACTCAGGAGATGCCCCAAGAACCCGTCCCCATGGGGCTATACTTATGTTCCCAGGATGCATGCTGCTACCTCTGCCTGGCACTGAGATGCACCAGCTTCTGTGAGGCAGTTAGAGGATGTCAGACAAGATCCAGATGGGTCAGACAGGTAGAGTGCTCACAGGGGGTTAAAACAGGGCCTGTGGCTGATACTTCCATGGCCAGCAGAAACACAAAACAATGGACAAAACTTTCCTTACAGCATCAGTTCATAGAATCATGGAATCACAGAATGGTTTGTGTTGCAAGGAACCTTACAGATCATCTAGTTCTAACCTCCCTGCCATGGGCCGGGACACCTCCTGCTAGAGCAGGTTGCTCAAAGCCCCATCCAGCCTGGTCTTGAACACATCCAGTGATGGGGAATCCACAGATTCGCTGGGCAACCTGTGCCAGGGTCTCACCACCCTCACAGTGAAGAATTTCTTCCTAATGTCTCAACCTCTATCTCCCCTCTTCCAGTCTGAAGCCATTCCCCCTCACTTTGAAGCACATTACCTCTTGTCACGACTCTCCTGATGAAGAGACTCTCCCCATCTTTCCTGTAGGCCCCCTTTAAGTACTGGCAGACCACCAGAAGGTCTCCCTGGAGCCTTCTCCAGGCTGCACAACCCCAACTCTCAGCCTGGCCTCACAGCAGAGGGGTTCCAGCTCCCTGATGGTTTCCATGGCCTCCTCTGGACCTGCTTGAGCAGGTCCGTTTCTTTTTTACGCTGGCGGCCTCAGCACTGAACAGCTCCAAGTGGGTCTCATGAGGCAAATAGATTTTGGCTGGAGGAATTCAGATCACCTAGGTCAGAGCTGCTTATTTGGTATTACTGAGATCTGCTTGGCAGAAAGCCGTGCTCCTGTTGGAGCTTTGCATCTGGAAACCTCAAAAGCCACCTTCTTTCCTTCCTTCCTCCTCGCAGGATCCCCACACGTGGTATCAGGGCTGAGATCTGAGATCTGGGATCTTGGTAACGTGTGCGTACGCACGGACACGCGTGGACCTCTGCTCACCAGCTCCTGGGCTTGGGTATTTCAGCCCAAAACGGAACGTTTCTCCAATCTGTTCTGATTGGAAGGTGACTCCAGGAGCTGACTCCAGGCCAAAGACAGACCCAACCCCCATCTCCTTCTTTCCCTTGGCGAAAAGCTGCCTCTACACCCAGAGACTCAACACACAAACAACACAAACCAACGCTGCCCTGGATATAAACACCAAAGGCTCTCACAAAACCCCACGGCGGGAACGACGCTGCCACCCAACAGGAATCCTGCAGAAATCCCACCTCCGTGCCTGGAAAACGCGCGTGTCGGGAGCGACTTACCCAAACCACCAACGGGATCGAGTGGGGTTCCTGTGAAGCCGTGCGGAGCGATGGGACCCGAGTCCTTTTATAGGGTCCTTGACAGAGCTGCCAAAAGGAGACACCCTTTTGTGGACGTTGTCCTGATTCATCCTTGGCCAAACCCAGCTGCACCTTCACGTCCTCAAACGGGTTATTTAACTTATCATCCCCTTCCCTATCATTTTAACCCAGAAATAGCTGTTGCCATGTGGCAATTCAGGCTGGTTCCACCTAATCCAGACTGTAAAGTTACTTTGCTGGCTGATTGTATTTCAGATTTTAAAAAGTCTGGAGCAGCTACGAAGTGTACGTGTGTATTAATAGGAGGGTGCCTTTTTATATTTGCAAGAGTATGAATTTATATCTCTATAAAACACGCACATAAAAATAGGACCAGAATGAAATCCTGGGGACGGGGACAGAAGTTCTGGTGGTGGCAGAGCTCACTATGAGCAGACCAGGACCAGTTGAGATTGGATGCCCCGTGATTTTGGTACTGCAATGCCAGAGATGATTTTTCTTTGTTTTTTTTTTTTGTGGAGTTCCTCCAGCACCTTGGGCCTGAAGTCGATGGGGTTTGGGTCTGGCTCTTGCTCGTAGAAGGACAGAAGAAGACACAAGCACTATGCAAATGATGAGATCCCTGAATCCTCCAGATCTTGGCCTCTGTGGTGTCCTTGCAGAGTGTTTTATTTTCAGTGACTACTTAAGAAGCCTTTTTGTTAAATTCTCTGGCTTTTTGTTGAGGCGAAAAAAACACCCGACCGCAAAGAACGTTTTTAAATGGTGAAGTTGGCGAGATGAACTTTTGCCCAAAAAAATGTCTGTTCAATAAGCGATAACTTTTCATTGAGAAAAATCACGATCAAGCATTTTTTTTGTATTAACTGTCTTCCACGAATGACTTTCATTTCAACTCTGCTTGATCTTTAATTAAAAATGAAAGCAGAAACCTCTCTGCTGAGAGGTCGATTCATGTTGAATCTTCATCTGGTTGCCCAGGGCAGCTTTTGCTGTAATTACCTCTACAATCTTCTTTTTTTTTTTTTTTCATCTTTTAACAGTAAATTAATTAGAGACCAACCGATTCCTTTATTAACCCCCAACTCTCCTGGCACACAGAGCAAATAAGGAAGACACCGGCCGTGCCACCTGGGCCCCTGCTTTTGGGTTTGGAGGTAGGATGCTGCCTTGACAAGCGTGACGGAGACATTGCAGAGAGCCTTCAGAGCATGAACTTGTCACGCAGCCTTGGGTGAGTGGCTCATCTGGCCCATCTGTAAGGGCAGGATCATACTGGGTGTAGGAGCCTAATTAATTAGTGCTGGTAACACCTTGGGGATACTCATACAAGTGCGTACGAAGGATTGTTACTAACCATGCTTCATTTTTGGGCTTTTTTTCAAGATTAAATTATACTTGTGCAAATTATACCCCACCTGTGGGATAATAATACCCTTGGGAAACTGTAATTTTATGGTAGATTGGAGTTATTATTAAAATTAGAGTATTACAGTGCAGCTTGGTGTCCTGTACCAGGCAGTAATCCCCTCGGCAGGCGCTGGGGCAGCGCAGGATGGTCGGGAGCAGCCAGAGCAGAGCTTGGCCATCGAGCAGGACGAGGCACCATCACATTTTGGCCATGAGCTCGCCAGCTTTCCCGTGCTTTGCTGCCCTCCCCACGACAGAACGATGAGTTTCAAAGCACGTTCTTGGCAGCCCTCAAACCCCCTTTTCTCCAAGGGCTTCATCTCCTCCAAAGATGTTTTCGTCAGGTGGGATTTGGGTGAAATTCTAAAAGCTGTTACCCAAGAGGGTGGGTTCCATCCTCCTGCTTCTTCCCCAGTTCTGTGCCCATCTCCGTTACTCTTTACATAGGGTGACCCAACTTCTGTTGCAGTTAATCTTAGAGGAATTTGGCTCCTTGTGTGGTCTAAAAAAGACCTTTTCTCTTCCAACACCACTCAGGTTATCAGGACTCTTAGACAAGGATTTGTGTCACTGGGTGATTCTCACGTTCTCCTTAAAATGAACCAAAAAAAACCCTTCTTAACATCAAATATGACGTTCCTGGTGGCAAAAGTAGTATTTTTGAGAATAGAGAATGTAATTAATGTGTCCCTCACAGGGCTTGAGCGAGGAGGTTGGGTTTTTATTGATGCTGCAAAAGGTGGCAGCTGATGGACAAAGCGACTATGGGGGGATGGTTTGGTCTGGTGAATTTAGACCCTAGAGGCAGAGAGCTAATGGACAAACCTCCAGCTGAGGTTTATTTTACTAGAAAAATGGACTTCTCTGGCAAATGAAACATCTTGAGGAATGTCTTGGGTGCAACGAGGTTTTGACAGATAGGGGATGAAATTTAAGTCTTGGCTCTCTCATTGAGTGTCCACAGATGTCATGAGGCAGTTGAGAACTTCTTTTTGCTAATATAATTTTTATCAGTAGCAGAACAGCCTCGTGTACTTTGTGCCTAATACATTTTTTGACTTTGAAACCACATCATTTTTGTGGCATAGGTTGGCCAGAGCTCTGAGCAACCTGCTCTAGTTGCAGATGTCCCTGTTCCCTGCAAGGAGGGTTGGACGAGCTGAGCTTTGAAGGTCCCTTCCCACCCAAACCATGCTAGGATTTTATGTACATTCTGAGGAGAGTTTTGAAATGCTGGTTTTTCTGATTCAGCACTTAGCAAATTGTGAAATTCTGGGGTGTCCCAGGGGGGTGACGTTGTATTTTCCAGTGAGGTCTCTGCGGGCTGCTTGTCACCGGCCACAGAGCAGGAGCTGTGGGTGCATTCATCCTGTGCTGATGGGGTTGATAGGTCACCAATGAAAGATAGCATGATGAAAAACAGGCTGAGCATCACCCTCCCTGCGGGATGCTGGGCCAGCTTGGTGGTCCAGCACGTCTGAACCCCCTAATAAACCCCTCTGACTTCACCAGCCTCCTCGTGCCCTCAGAGTTATCCACATTCCTCTGGGCATGTCTGGATGAGTGCCCGGGGACCTGGTACCCCAAACTGCCTGAACTGACTCCAAGTTTGAGGTCGGCTCCAATTCTGCGTGGTTTGCATGTCAGCTTTTTAGCTCTGCCCTCCCAGTTGTTGCTGGGACTGGATGTACCCAAATAATCATTTTTTTTTCATGTGTTTAATGTATTCTCCATTCCTTCCTTCGGAGACTTCCGTAGCTAATAGGGATTTTTGATCTTCGTAGCGTGCTCCACATTCTCCTTGCTTCTGAGATTATTAATAAGTGAGGTTAAATAGGACAAATCCCTCCCCTTTGGTGTTAAGCAGCTGTTTATTCTTCTCACAGCAGACATGAGAAACGCCTGGAGCAGACGGATGCTGAGAGGAACCTGCTCGGGTCGGCCGTGCTGTTGTGTCAACCCAGACTTCTACCTGCTCTGAAGACACCTCTGACAGGGGTGTCACATCCCTGCCTGCAGGGAGCAATCCATGACCTTGGCTAAGTTGCAAAGGCAGCTGAACAGCAGCTCTTTGAGACTACCCACCCCGAAGACACACCTGCAGCCCTCCCTCCAGCTGCACCCTGGAGCAGTCTTGGCCCTACGTCCTGCAAGGGATGGGTGCTCAGGTCTTCTGCACCACCTCACATCAGCCTGGCTGGTGGCTCAGAGCCAGGCTGAAGGCACACGCTTGCAGCAACACAGCAGGACACTGGTTTTGGCATTTTTTTCTTCAGTTTTATTGCTTCACTTACAGAGGCAGAGGTGGCCTAACAGAGAGGTCTCTAGGCATGCAGAGCTGAGGACAAAACAGGGGTGTGGAGCACAGGGTGAAGAAGGAATTGGGCAAGATAAGACAAATAGACATGCAAAAACCCAGAGTGGGACTGGACAAGAGGCACCTCTTCAGAGGGTAACCCTCACTTGGGGCCTCCTTTCAGCCTTCATTGTGGTGGCCACTGATACAGAGACTGCTGGAGCTGTTGCTCTAGAGCAGGCTGGATTTGCTGACGAGCGTCTTGTTGCTGTGCTGGACAAGATGGAGCCTGTGCCCTGCTAAGCTCCTGCTCCTTGGATCCAGGGAGCTGGTGGAAAGTTTGGTCTTGCTGCATTCCCCAGGGCTCGGGATCCCAACGAGGGCTCACACCCTGCTGTGGGGGCAGCAGGTTCTGGGTCTCATCAGGGTTTGGGTCTTGCCAAGGGGCCTCACAGACCTGGGTCTTGTTTGGGTCTCTTCCTTCTGTCTCAGAGGCACAAGTCAGGTCCTGCTCTACTGACTCCATCTCTGGGCTCTGGGGGTAGTCTGAACCCTGTCCTGGTGCCTCAGTTTCTTCAGCCTGGTGGGTTTTTGGGTCCTGTTCTGATGTCTCAATCTCTTCAGCCTTATTTCTGTATTGCTCTGGGCTTGCAGTGTCCAGGATCTCAGCTCTTTCTGGATCCCCTTCTGGTGCCTCAGTTCCCTCATCCTGACGATTGTCCTGGTCCTGGGCTGGTGTTTCACCCTCCTGGGTTTGATGGTTGTCTGTGTCCTGTGTCTCTGTGTCCTGGACCTGATTGTTCACACCCTGCTCAGGGGCATGCTGGTTGTGAGAGACCTTCTCCCCTTCATGCAGCCCCAGCAGCAGGTCCCCATCTGCCTTCTCTTGTGCTCTCAGCTCTTGACCCTCTTCCAGCTCCTGGTGCTGCTGGAGTGGCTTGTAACAAGCCTTGGCCACCTGGAAGACCAGGCTGAGCAGCTCGCTGAAGTCGACCCTGCAGTTGCTGTTGTCATCCAGGAAGCACAGCACCTTCTTGACAGATTTGGGGTCCTGGGGGTTCTGTAAAGAGACAAACGGTGTTGTCAAAGCTCATGAGCCATTTGTGCCATCTCTCTAGGGGCATTCGAGCAGTCTCAGGGCAGAAATCCAACCCCACATCCTCACACCCCCGAGCTCTACAAGCTGCTGGCACTGGGAGGAAGAACAACCTCTCCTCTTCTTTGCAGACCCTGGGCTTTGAAGGCAGTCAAGTGTCTTGTACACGGTGTCCTTCACCCACCACCAGCCCAATCCCACCCCAAGGCAGATCCTCACCTCCATCACGTCCCCAAACTCCTGCTCGATGAGCTGCCTCAGCTCCTCCCTGCTCAGGGGGCTGCAGTTGCCGTCGCCTCTGGTGCACATGTAGAAGGCAGCAACGATGCCATTGATGTTCTCCTGGAGCTGGGCCATCTCCCTGCGGGACTGAGGCAGCCTGTGAGACAAACAGACCAAAAAGAGGCTTTTTTGTTTGTTTATCTGGATGTTTTTCAGTTAAGTTACTCTTAAACAACACAGCTGGGCAGGCAGAGAGAGAAAAAAGAGCCAGAGAAAGGCACAGATGAAAAAGAAAGA